AGAGAGTGATCAGCTACCTGAAAATAACTCCGATCACAATGTCTGTGAAGTTTTTATCGGTTTACTTAAGAACCCATCTCATTCAGCGTTATTGTGGCTATGGTTTATTTCACTCACAGTTAGTGTGGAAGTTCTCACATAGCATTGTAATCGCGCTGAAGCAACATCCATTGTGCAAATAAATCTTTAGCTTTGAACTGCTGTTATTTGTTAGTCATCGGAGCAACAATAAAGTTTAGTATGATAACATTGCAGTGAAAGAAAATAATCATCTATTGATTAGGTTAACACTTTGATCAAAACCGTTAAGCTGAAGTTTTATAATCATACGGCATCGCTTTCGTTCAGTATTGTTTTCGTTGAATCAACAAAATCTACCCAATGATTCGTTTACAACAAATATATTTATGCGTACTGATTCTGCTTTGGACAGTGGATTCAGACGGTCAGTTTGTTACCACTACTCGGCCATCATCACTATCATCGACTACACCTGATCTAGGCGAAGAGATTGTCTTAAAACCCTCGAATTTAGTGATCAATCATACGCTGTCATGTCGAGGCGCATTCTTCTGCAGATCACCAGTTGAACCGTATTCGAAAGCCAAAATACGACTGCTCTCCAACATAAGATATATCGACGAAAAGTAACCGATTGTATCGAGGCTATAATATTGNATAGAATAACTCATTTGAACTGAACTGAAGTGAAAATTTGCATCATGAGATTGCAAAAAAATTCTCTGAAGCTAGCTTTCGAAAAATACCTTCCTGTCTGAAACCAGAAATGATCACATCGAAATTCATCTAACATAAGTCTAGATCAAAACAGAGCAGAATTTTACTCAGAACTCGTAGGTTCCAACAAATTGAGAGAGATTTGCTGAAAAGAGCCAATCGTTTGGGTTATTGCAAATGAAGAGCAAGTAATTGATTTCAGGCCAAGTAAGTACCTCGCACTTTTTTGTTTGTAATTATTTCTAAACTTGCACTGAATGAGTTTCAAATAGTTCTCTTACGTATTCACTTCATTCAGTTCAAAAGGAAATTTAATCGCCATTTTTAAGGAATGAAACTTATGTTTCAATGACCAAAAACATTTTCTATCATACCTAGCTGAGGATCAGTGTATTCTTGTCTACCCATCAATTTAATCACAAAATACATAGACTGTGAAAATTTTATGGATATGCTTCGTGATTTCCAAATATCACTTACAATATTTTCTGTAGTAACACTATCGCCTGCATGGTCACATTCTGATGCTTAAGGGGTGCGACATATTGTCGATGGTACAGAAACAGACGAAGATGGTAGTTTCTTGGTGGAGGGTGAAGACCGTGACCATACGCTGCCGTTCGAGCCGGTTATCGTTATCTACCACCAGTGTGGACAATCATCACGAAAGGTTAGCTGATCAGTGTCGTCTTCGACCTCGATGTTTTCGGGAATACGCTCTACCAATTGATCAATTTTTTATTTTCAC